CCCCGCCACCTCCGCCCCCCGCACCGCAGAAACCGGAAGCTGCTTCCACCAGAGCTGTGGTGGGACTTGCCCTGGCAGGAGACGCGCTGTGGGGACGGCCCGCGGGCGGCATAGCACTTGCCTCGTACTGCCTCCCAGTGGATGCCGGCAGCACCTGGGGCAGGCCGAGCTGGGGGCGGAGAATGAACTCAGGCGGGTCCTGGATGCCACCACCCAGGTGGAAAGGAAGGAGACCAGGGCCCTGAGAGAGAGTGGACCGGAGGGGGAGAGCAGAGCGGAAGGTGGAGGGTGGTTGTTTTACTGGGGACAAAAACAACTGTGATGCCAGCATTCTCAGGCACTCTCTGTGTTCAGAGAGTGGTCCCCGTGTGGGCTCTCTGTGAATGTGCACACACGGACACATAAGCACTGCGAGCTGTGTGCACGCGCACCTGTACACCCTGTGAACACTGTGCATGTGCGCGCATGTGTACACCCTGCGTGAGGCCCACTTGTGCACACACACGTAACCCTTCCGGGTGAGCTGTGTGCACATGCACATAGACACATGTATGCCCCGTGAGAGCTGTGTGCTCACATCCTTGTGAGCTTTGTGTGAGTGCGTTGTGCACACACGCACATGTGCATCCTGCTTGGGCTGCGTGTGCACACCTGTACACAGAAACATCCTTGTGCACTATGTGTGCATGTGTACATCCTGCGTGACCTCCGTGTGTGCACGCGTGTGTGTGTGATCTCTGGTATGCACTGCGGGGGTGGCCAGGGTCCGATGTCAGCAGCAGACACAATGGCTCCCTCCCTACCACCCTAACCGAGCCCACCTGCCAGGGCATCACAGAAGGTCTGTTCTCCTCCCAAGAGACCCCGCCCAGCGAGGGAAGTGGAGGAGAGGCTCCCCTTCCCAGGGCAGGCCTCAATCCTCGGGAGCCTATGAGCACATCCTCACTGTCCGCCTTGTAGCGAGGCGGGGGCTGGGCCCTTTCATGGAGGTGGGGTGGGGGTGGGCGGCGGGCCAGAGGGCAACCCAGACATGTGTTATGCCTCCGTCCTCCATCTGCATCCTCCCCGCCGCTACTTCTCCCCCAGGCTATAAACGGGAAAGTCTCTTCTGTCCGCAGGAGAAAGCTCCCAAAACACGCGCTCCGGGCCCAGCCTTCCCTTCGGACCACCCCCTTCTTCCTTGCGGGCATTGGAAGAACCGCTGCCTATGCAGCGCATCCCCCTCCTGTGTCTCCCCTCCCGTCTGCCCTCCACCTTCACCAGCCAGTGGGCTGCTCTCCATGAGATCACCCAGGACCCAACTGATAAATCCAGGGGCCATCATCGGACTGCACCTTGAGGGCCTCACCGCATCCTGCCGACCAGGCTGTGCGTTCCCCGCCATCACCCCACCCTGTCCTTCTGAGTTCCTGGCATCATTCTCAGCTCTCCTCCTGTGCCCGCACAGCAGTGGGAGGTCTTTCTGAATAGCTCCCCCGCTACTTAAACCCGGGGCTGGGGGCAGCACCCCTGCCCTCAGAGGTGAGTCCAGCGCCTCACAAGGCTTCCTTCTGAAGCCCTGCCCCCGTCAGGCCTCCGACCCCACAGCACCGGCTTCCGGGTGTGCTCAGAACCATAGGGAATTTTCTGTTCTAACAAGCACCAGGCCTGCTTGCTGCCAAGCGTTTGAACGTGCTGTTCCTTTGCCCAGAGCAGCCGCTGCTTCCTGCAGCCTTCTCCTCCCCTAGGTAATGCCCCTCCACCTTTTGTTGTCATTTGGGAAGAAAACAGACACCTTCAAGGAAAGGGCTTCCCTGGTAGCCCCCAACCCAAGACAGAGCTGGATGCCTGTTGCTTACCTAGGGAGAGCACTTCTGCAGGATGGCATTGCTCTCTCCCCTTCCATGGCACGTAGTATGTGCTCAGTAAATGTGTTGGATGAGAAACTGAAGGTGTCCCCAGGCCTACACCATTGCCATGCCCGAACACTATCCATGCTATGGTGAGCACCATCTCTCTGATGACAGTTCTGTGTCCACAGCCCAGACCCCTCCACACAAACTCAGATGGGGCTGTGCCGCTGTTTTCCAGATGTATTCATTCAACAAATATTTGTAGAGTACCTACTATGTGTCAAGTGATGTTCAAGATCAGCATCATCCAATGGAAATAGCGTGTGAGCCATGTATGTAGTTTCAACTTTTTCATTAGCCACATTAAAAACGTAAAAGGAAACCAGTAAAATTAATTTTAGTCATGTATTTTCTTTAACCTAGTATATCCAAAACATTTTCATCTTAATGCCTCATCGATATTAAAAAGTATTAAGGAGATAGTTTACATTCTTTTTTTCATTCTTCCAAATCTGCACCCACCTAGCCAATTCTTTCCTCTAGAGATTTAGCAATGAGCCGAGATAGTGCCCCTGCACTCCAGCCTGGGCTACAGCGGGAGACTCTGTCTCAAAATAAATTAAATTAAATTAAAAAGAGACTTAGCTGAGAGGGGCCACTTCTTCCTGGAAGGCGTCTGAGCCCTGCCCCAGGTCTGGTTCAGGGCCTCTGCCCTGCACTCCCATAGGCCTGTCAAGCCTGTTGCAGCCCTGCCCAGGGGACATCCAGTCACCTTCCTCTGGCTCAGTCTCCCTGCGGAGGATGGGCCCTGGCTCAGTGCAAAGCGCATCAGCTCTGGAGGACCATACTCCACAGCAGTGGATCTCAACTGGGGGTGATTTTGTCCTCTAAGGGGACATTTAGCAATGTCTGGAGACATATTTGGTTGTTACAGCTGGGGTGGGGGAGAAGCACCAGTAGGGTTTCACGGGCGGAAGGTTGGAGATGTTGCTTAGCATCCTGCAATGCACAGGACAGCCCCCACACCCTGGCTCAGATCTTCATATTGGTGCTGACGCTGAGCAACTCTGCTCGACAACAGTGAACTGTCGAGCACTGAGAACAACCCCAAGAGGGGTTCCCAACAGCAAAGGCGCTACCCCAACGGGCACTTTGTAAATGTGGGGGCCACTGCTTTGTTTTCATAATGATGGGGGACCCCATTGGCATTTAGTAGGCAAGGGCTATGGACGTCAAGATATCCTCTCAAAATAAAAACCTGCCAGGCACAACTTTTTTATTTTTATTTTTATTTTTTGAGACAGGTCTCCGTCTGTTGCCCAGACTAGACTGCAGTGGTGTTATCACGGCAGCCTCAACCTCCAGGGATCCAGCAACTCTCCCACTTGAGCCCGCCTAAGTAGCTGGGACCACAGATGCACGCTACCAGGCTAGGCTAATTTTTGTATTTTTTTTTGTAGAGACAGGGTTTCATCATGTTGCCCAGGCTGGTCTTGAACTCCAGGACTCAAGTGATCCGCCAGCCTCTGCCTCCCAAAGTGCTAGGATTACAGGCGTGAGCCACTGCACCTGGCCTCAGACACAACTTTAGAATGTCCAACTGGACATTGGCATAAGTGAAAAACCTGGGCCCAAATCTCATTTTACATGTAAAACATTACATGTAATGTTTTGGGCTTTTTTTGGACTTTTTGTTTGTTTGGGCTTTTTTTGCATAGTTTTATTATAAATCAAACATGTCGATCTTTATCCCAACATCCACCCATGCTCTATAATGTTCCTGGGCTTCTTGTACAGAATGGCTTCCAACCTTCTTTTAAATTTAAATGTAGTCATTCAAAAGAGGGGCAAGCATTAATGTATTGAAACACATAGCACTGCCCCTCAATTTATCCTTTATGATACGGTTGTGACAACATATTGATTTGTGAAATCACTTGTACAGGTACAGTATGTTAAATATCATATCAGACTCAAAGATGTTAGAAAATATTTACTGGAGGAAAAGCGCCTCGGTCCACACGGTTGCCTCCAGCCTGGCGCGGCCGTTGAGTCAAGCAAGGCGCTGCCGCCACCTAGTGGTTAACGTAGAAATGGCAGGCAACCCCTAGCAGAAGGAACCCTTTGCCTTACCCTACCCCCTCCAGACCCCCACACCACTTGGAGGTAGAGGGCTGGGCTTCTAAGCTTCCATCCCAATCCTGTGTTCTTGTTAGGTTTCTTTCTTTTCTTCTTTTTCTTCTTCCTTCCTTTCTTTCTTCTTCTTTCTTTTCTTTCTTCTTTCCTTTTTTTTCTCTCCTCTCTCTTCTCTTCTTCTTCTTCTCTCTCTCTCTCCCTTTTCTTTCTCTTTTTTGAGATGGAATCCTGCTCTGTCGCCCAGGCTGGAGTGCAGTGGCGCGATCTCGGCTCACTGCAACCTCCGCCTCCCAGGTTCTGCCTCAGCCTCCCGAATAGCTGGGATTACAGGCGCCCACCACCACGCCCAGCTAATTTTTTTTGTATTTTTAGTAGAGACGGCGTTTCACCATGTTGGCCAGGCTGGTTTTGAACTCCTGACCTCAAGTGATCCGCCCACAGCCTCCCAAAGTGCTGGAATTACAGGCGTGAACCACTGTGTCTGGCCTCTTGTTAGGTTTATATGAGTCCCTGACCCCAGCTCCTGTGCCATCTGTCATTGCTGCTGTGATGGTCCAGGCTGGACCCAGCCTCTGGCTTCCTAAGGACCAGGAATGTCTAGGGGTGGGTCCGGCTTCCTCCCTCAGACTGGGGGTTCCCTGAAGGTGGGGGCAGCTTTCCTCCTCTCCCCTCCCACTCCCAGACTGGGGCTCCTTGACATGGGCAGTGGGGATCTCCAGACTGAGGGCTTCCCAAGGGGCAGGACCTTCTCCTTCTCAGCATCTCCAAAGACCCCAGCACAAGGTAAGCCTCAGCAGGCAGCTTGGAAGGGTGCCCTGGCCAGCCCCTTGGCCCCAGTGCTCATTCCTGACCATCACAGGCCCAGAGTACATGAGGAAACCCATTCTGAGCCCCCAGCCCAGACATCAAGAAGAGGGGGTGGAGGCAGCAAGGCTGGAGGCATGTGTAGAATAAATAGAACTTTATTCTTTATCCAGTAGATCTCAGTGGAAAGCCCAACAGTAACAGGTGCACCCACGGGCTCCAGGGGAAGGGCCCCAACCCCTGGTGGAGGTCAGGGCAGAGCCGGCTCCCCCAGCCAGGGGTGCAGGGGTGAGGGGAGACCCCCTGTAGGCCCGTCCTGCGGGGTAAGGAGGGGGCACGGGGATGGGACAGGGGGGAGGTGGGGGGCAGGCCAGGGAAATGGAGGAACTCAGGCCAAGTGTGTGTCGGCCCATCTACTGTCCAGTGTGTGTGTGTGTGTGTGTGTCTGTGTGCGCGTATGCATGTGTGTGGGTGTGTCTCGGGGCCCTGTGGGGGTGCTGGTGGCTGAGGCTGGGGGTGGGGGCACCTCAAGCCCCTGGCCAGCCCCTTCACAGTAGGGGCTGGGAGGCCTGGATGATGTGGGCCCTGACAGGAGGCAGCTCTGCCAAGGAGCTGGGTCTGTGAAAACTCCGTGTGTCCCGGGGCCCCTGCTCGGCCCTGCTCCATGGCTCATGGTGGGTGCAGGCAATTGCCAAGGCCAGGAGCCTGTCCTTCCAGGGCTACCCCACACCGTCCACACCCAGTGGTCAGGCAGAAGGAGAAAGGGGCTGGCAGCTTCTCCAGCGCGAGGGAGGGGAAGGCAGGCCTTGGAAAGTTAGTACTTCACAGTTTTAAAGAGAAAACTGAGGAGGAAAAGGCTGAGGAGGAGAACTGGGGGGCACAGGGACACAAAAGGAGAGTGGGGGCCCCTTCCGAGCCACTCCCTCCCCCGGACCCACCCCCTCCAGCTCTGGATCCAGCTCCCCCCAATACACAGCACAAATTCCTTCAGTATAAATGTGCTTAAAATGAAAATTCTTATTAAAAAAAATCAAAACCAAAAAAATTAAAATAAAAACAAAACCAGCGAGAATTAATACCTGGGGTTGGTACGGCAGGGTATGTACAGGGGGAACCCCCCGCCCCTGTCCCACCCCCTCTGTCACCAACCAAGGCAGGGGGGAGGCTGAGGTTCCCCAGCTGGGGAGCAATGGCTTGTGAGTTCTGAGGATGGGGGAGCCAAGTCCTGGCGTTTGCTGGTGATGAAGATGTGGTGAGCTGGGCAGAGGGGTGTCCTGATGAACACGAGGCCCCCAGGGGACCCATCCTGAGACCCGGGACCAGGGCCTCACTCAGTTCCCGGCCTCGGCCTCTGACGTCAGCCCAGGCTGTGGGAGCAGGCAGTCCACTGAGGGCCCAGGCCTCTGTCCAAGGAGTTGCTGCCTCCTCCCTCCCTGTCCCCCAGGGAAGGTCCCCAGTGCTGCCCAGGAGGACAGGTGGGGGCAGGGCTGGCAGGGGTCACATGGTCGGTAGAAAGGCAGAGAAAAGCCGGGGCGGAGGGCGAGGGTTGTGTCCATGTGGCGCGGGCGGTCACGGGGAGTGGGTGGCCGGGCTGCTTCTGTTGGAGCTGGGGCTGAGGCTGGGGCTACAGCTGCCTGGCGGGGGGGCCAGACCACCCCCGTCCCGCCCCCCGCCCCCCGGCTGTCCGCTCAGAGTGTCCAGGCCCTCTGAGTTCTCCAGCATTTCCTGGATGAGAGGCGGCATGGAGCCCGGGATCTCCATCTTCAGCGTGATCACCCGCTCAGCCCCTGCGGGAAAGGAGGGGCAGAGGTCAGCACACCGGGCCAGCCCTCCCACCCCCGGCCCCAGCAAGCCTGGCTCCAGGTGGGAAGATCAATACTACTGATACTAGCTCTTTCTTGGGATTCAGTTCTTTGACACGAGCCAGCTCTCTTAGCCCCCAAGTCCAGAGGCTGGTGGCAATGGGGCAAAGTGGTCCTGAACTCTGGTTCCAGGGCCAGACTGCCAGCCTGGGCTGGACACCAAGTCCTGCCTTCCTCTATGCTGTGCGCTGGGGATTATCCTGACTCCTCTGTCAACACTATCGTTATCCCTGCCCCTCAGAAGGGAAACTGCAGCTCGGAGCTGTTAAGTGACCCGCACAAGGACACACACCCATGTGTCTGGTTCCAGAACCATGATCTGAACTACCACAAGGTGAGTGACACAGGCAGGTCACTAGGGGACAGTGGAGTCACTAGGGGACCTCGGCCTAGACACAGATGGGGACAGGTGTCGTATTCTCCTGGCACAAAGACACAGGGTGCTGGCTTGGATGTGGGGGCCTGGGCCAGGCGTTGAGGGCCGGCACCCGTCCAGGTCTGGGAGCCTCACCCTTGGCGCTGATGCTTCGCAGGTCAGTGATCTTCATCAGCATCTTGGGGAACATGTGGGGGCGGCTGGG